AAAACATCTCAGGAATATTTACTGTCATGTTTTTTAATGAGAAAGCTGCAGAAATGGTTTGATGTGTTTCAAATAAAATCTTTTAACAAATTTATATAAACTGCATATTAATGTTACATGAAGCAAAAAATAAGTAAAACCACTCTCTGGAATAAAACATGTGTAGTTCATGAAATGAAATACAAAAATCGCAGCAGGGATAAAACTAACTTTTAAGCTCATGGAGAAACAAGTTGGACCCAGAAGTTGAGTAAATGGGAACACTGGTTTCTCCTCAGTGTCTGTGACTGGGAGCCCTGGGTGACCTCTCAGGTCACAGAGCCGACCTTCTTCACTGGTCTGCATGTGATTAAAAAGCCACCTCCATAAAATAAAGAGGAGTCTGCTTTCTTTATTTCTTAAAGTGAAACTGGAGTTTTTTTTTCTTTCCCTTTCTGAGCTTCACTAATGAACCGTAGCAGCAGAAACGCTTCAGAAGTAAAAATATTCATTTCCTTCCCATCTGGATGTTACATTTCTTTCAGTGGATGACTGGATTCCAGTTGCACAGTCAGAATATGAATTGACCTTGGGAGTTATCATTTGACCTTGTCTGTTAGACCTGTTTGTCTCAGCGTTGACCTCTGACAGGCTTCTGATCTCTGGATGGACCCTGTCTCAGGTCCAAACTACTTTAATTTAATATACAATTGTCAACTTTAAAGTTAAATCATCTAAATTAACTCATTAAGGTAATTGCTGCTTTTAAATTGGCAACACATGCAACTAATATCTTTAAAAATATGTAGCATCAGATCATGAATTATTTAAAGGCTGGTGTTCTTTTTGTTTTGTAACTTGAACAACGTTTCTATAAAACAAAAAGTACCAGAATGGGGGATATGATTTATATTTCGTTGTGTAGCATTTGAATATTAACTGAAGTCACGTGGAAGTAAAAACCTTTTTATGTTTTTCATGTTGTGATAAACTAAAACTAAAAGTTTAAACTAATATAACTGTTGACTCAAACGGATCCTGTAAACGTCTGCTTTCTTTCTTATTATCATTTTACTCTCACCGACTAGCATTGTGAAACTTTTTCAGTGTACAACCCTACCACAGTTATTCTTCATAAAATTTACCATCAAACTACAGAACATCTGCTTAACAAAAAGCACTGAAAAACTCAGAGATGTACGTTTTTATTTTATTTAATGTTATATGAACACATTTCAGGGCTGTTGAAGATGCTGTGGGACAGAATAAGTTCTGATTCATGAACTAAATGATATTTACATTTCAAAACAAATCATCAAAAGTCTTATTCATTCAATGTGTAAACATTTACATTTTAAAACATTTTATCCAATCAGATCTCGAGTGGAATTTTAAAAATATCTTTTAAGGAGAAAATTGGAAAAAACAAACAACAAATAATAATAAAAAATAAGATATTATGCAGAATGTTGCACAATGAATTTTTAAAATTGTTGCTTGTTGGGGACATTTAATTCACGTCATCCTTGAGTTCTTTGGGTTAATGAAGGACGCTGTCTCCCTCTACCGGTCATACTGAGAATGACACACGCAGTGGGTCATATTGACCCACACCATTGCCTAAATTTTGTTTCTAAAACCTCAGAACAAAATACATCAGACTTCCCCTTTTACTAGCTTTTACAATGTTCCTACAAGTTTCACCTTTTGTTCTCATCACCATCATTGTCCTTTTCAGTGTGCAACGTTTATTTTACCGCTATATCTGCAGTTGCATGTATGGATATGATGATGCAGCTCACATCCAGCTATTCTCAGACCTTGATTCTTAGCCGTTATTCAAACTTTTATAGCTGCTGCAATTCACTGCATGTTCGACCGATAAAATACAACTTTATCACGTGAAACATGCAGCAAATCAATACCACATACTGTATTTTAACTAAAAATCAAAACTTTTCTAACTTCTCCAATTTTTATGGTCAATGTTTACAGTTATTCTGCAGAAAGTTACATTTTCTCTCTCTGTTCCCAGAAATGCCACGAGATGGCAGCACTGTTCCAGAGGTGTGCTGTAGAAGTGCATGTGTAGTGTTGGATAAAAACACTTTATTTTGCTTCCAAGAACAGCGAAAAACAGCATATAAAGATTAGATAGATAGATCAAATACTTGTTCAAGCAACATGTTTTCAGTCCAGCCTTTAAAATTATAAAACAATGCTCATTTCATTTTTCTGAATTATTTGAATTTTGTCTGTGCCATGAGCAAGCAATAAAAACTATGAGAAAAATGTGACAAAATGAGATTAGATGTAAACTTTTTCATGTCATTGTTTGTTTCCACCTCAAATAAATTAAGACCTCTGTTATAGTTTACAGAGCAGTTCAACTGTCAGCAAGACAAAACGAAAGAAGACGTAAAACTCTCCAAAGAATCAACAGGTCTAATCTGATACAAACACTTTTCAATGGCTTTGATAAGCAAATTTAAACACTGGGATCATAATGGTAAGCAAAGGGTTTTAGAACTGTGTTAAGATATGCTTGTATTTTACAAAAAAAATATTGGAATTATTTAAATTCATTTTATTTTTCAGGAAATGTCTCCAAACTGACAATGTCAATCTTCACAACTCAAATATTTGCCATTTTTTCCTATACAACTCTGAAGACAATCTACTGAACTCTCATATTAAGAATGTCAGACTTTAAAAACCTCTTGCACCCAAGAAGGGGGTAATCTGTCAAGACAAAATGAGAAACAAAACTTCAAAGCCTACAAATATCTGTGAATATCAAACTTATGTTGCTGTTTCTCTGGACTATGATTGTCATCAAACAAAAATTATTTTTAGCTTATCTTCAGAATATGAAATTCAGGAGAAAATACTATTTATGATGTGTGTTAATATGAATCTGAAAATTACAAAAACAAAGTAGATAAATCCAAAATCTGATGTCTGTGTATAAGTTACAAAGATTTTTATTTTTGCTTCAAACTCAGCAGATAATTAATGAATCCATATGTTAAGTAGATTACACTTTATTCTGCAGAAAAGTTTTACAAAGTTAAATTTCTACAAATATAAATGTTACTGCGATTTAGTACTGAAGAATGCTCTTCACCTTAAAACAAATTGAAAATGTGATTATGTTTTCAGAGGTTTTATGGTTTTAAAATAACAATCCAAAGTTAAAGTTTAAGAGCTTTCAACAGGCGTCTACACAGAAATACATTGATCCTCTAACTGTCATCTTGAATTATGATATATTATATTCAATAGTATAAAGAAGACCAGAGCAAAGCGAGAGAATAATCGATTCTTGAAAATGCCCGTTAAAGAGAGAAACCAGTTAAAGTACAAAAATCAATCCAGTGAGTCAGGCTGGGCCTCCGAACTCAAGTTGATCTTCAGAGTGACTGAGACTGGAGCCAGTGAGCCCCGAACCGCCCTGCAGGTCACTGACGATATCTTCTTCCAGTTCTCCTCATCCACCGTCAAGAAGCTGCTCCAGCTGTAGTGGACGTCATCCAGAGGCAACACGGGGCCACGTTCCTCTTCCCAGTTCACTTTGCTGCTGCTATTGACGTTCCAACGCAATTGCCAGTCTGAGGGGAAGCCCTTGTAGCCCAGACATGTGAGGGTGAACTTCCCCTGCTGCAGCTCCTCACTGGAGGGGGCCAGCAAAGTCAGGTTGGGATGTAAAGCATCTATGAGACAATAAACATCTTGAAGGTCAGGATCAACTCTACTGTCCGTCAACAGCATACCCCTAGACTTCTCTTTTTCTGCAAATGATTCACTTCATTCCAGTCGTATTTATAAATTATTTAGTTTATGGTTACAGCAAATGGTAAATGACCTGGACTTGAAAAGCATTTATCATGTGCAGAAGACCCCAAAAGCCAAAGTGAGACGGACACAGGGGGGGGGTCAAACCGTCAACCTCAAACTCATATCATCTTCATCACCTTCATCCCAACAGTACAACAGAATCCTCTAATGTCCATTTAATAATCATTTGAAATGTACTGAAGTAACAGAATCTCCTGTGGCCACACTTTTCTTTAAATTATTTAGTAAAAATAAAGTTTTTTGGTGTAAGAACTGATATTTTTGTTGATGTATAAAAAGTCTTAAAATAAGTTTAATTAGAATAAAGCATTCATAAAATCAAAGTTGACTTCCAAGATGCTGCCCAGCAGGTTGATTTTAAGACTTTTAAAAGTCTTAAACCTTTGTTTGATACAGAGAAACCTAAACTTAAACTTTAATCTGACCGCAAATTCCACATATAATGCTTGTAATGATTAGGGTGGTATGTATTTTAGAACATGCCACCCTAACAATCCTATTGGCTTGTAAATATCCAATTATTAGAAATGTTAACCAAAGAAGCCAATCTTGGATTCTTAAAAAAATAGCTTTGTAAATGTTTTTACCCAGTATCCTGCCTATTGTAATGATAAGCAAAACAAAAAGCCTTGTCCAAGAATTAAATAAAATGAAACTATTTCATGCCATGATTTTATACCCCAGGGGTCCAAAGACATTTGTGACTGATTCAAAGATTCAGTTAAATTAATCTGAAGTAGATTATTAGGGATGATAACTGCAGAATTTCCTAAATTAAAATAAATCTTATTTAATTAATGAACATATGTGTCCCTAGATCTGATATGATTGAAAAGCAAAGAGAAGACACCGGATAGAACTCTGAAGACATTTTGCAGAGAGAAATAGGACAATATCTCTCTATTTCTCAAAGCGGGATTAATATTTCTCTTCAAATCAGGCTAGTTTCTACGGAGCCCCTAAGGGGACAAGGAGAAAAAAAAAAGGAAAGAAATCCCGACTTATTATCTCGAGATCCCGACATCAGTACATAACGACCTAATCACAGTGATGGAGGACACCCACCCATGGGGTAGATATATAGATTTTTATTTCGAGCTTGGGCTTGAGTATAAACACATTAAATCAGTGCTTGACAGCAGACATGGATTTAGTATTAGTGAGAGACATCTGAAGAGAGTTTTCAGAGCGCGGGGACTCATTCGGCGCAAGTCCTTTTCCGACTTGGCAGTTTTGATAGAATTCATTAATGTCCAGAGGACTGTAGCTGGTTATTAATGAATTAAGTCGGGATCTCGAGATCTCAACTTAGTTTCTTGGGATCTCGAGATAATAAGTCGGGATTTCTTTCCTTTTTTTTTTTTTTTTTTTTCCATTTCCCCTTAGGGGCTCCGTAAGTTTCACATTTAACCTTAATCACATTAAACCTAGCAGATTTAAAATATATATTTTAAAGCTGTGTGTGCTGTGATCAGTTTAGTAGAGTAACTCCACTACTTAAGAACTTTTAAGGTCAAAAGCTTAGCTTGCCTTTTAAAAAATTGCAGAAAAAGAAAGTCTAGTACATCAGCATACAAAGTTACAAGATGTCAAAAACAGTAAATAAATGTCTCACCCACAACATGGAGTTTAACTGTTCCAATTTCAGTAGTATTTTTCCCCAATATTACGACAGTATAATTTCCGCTGTCATTCAGTTGTACGGAGGTCAGAGTCAGGTGGCCGTTGGCTGAGTCAATCGAAGCTCTACCTTTGTAGCGATCATTTACGATGAGACCTTCTGGACGCAGAAGAGCAACATTTACAATTTGGTTTCCACCTTTGAAATTCCAGGTTATTATGTTACTTGGCTCGTTCTCAACCAGGATTTCAAGGGTTGCATTTTCCCCCAAATAGACTTGCACTGGACTCTCCGATACAATCTTTTGACCAACACTGAGCCCTGTAGGGAAGCATGAAAGGATTAGATTGTTTTGTAAACACTTAAAGGTGTAAATAAGAGTAATATTTATGCAAATAGAGGCCAAACTATAATAGGGATCATCATTTAGCATTTTTATCAGTACTGAACTCAGCTTAGCAAAAGGAAACAAGATAAACTGATGATCATCAGGTCTTACAGTCATTACAAAATATCCAGTTAATATATAACATTTCATGCATTAAATCATATAGAAACGTTAAACCTTACCTATAAAACAGAGGGACAACACAAGTGATTTTAAGCTGAACAGGTCCATGTTTCGCTGATGGGACAGAGGATGTTGCAACATTTTTTAAAGGGCAAAATTGGAAGCTCAAAGAGCATGTTTTCTCTTTAAACCTATCATTTGTACAAGCTGGAGTTTAGTCAGCAAAAGCTAATTATTAACAGATTTCAACAAGTTACTTTTGTTGAAGATTTAAGATTGATATAATCTTTGTTTGGCCAGCAAGCTATGATCTGTTTCACTGTCTTTGTGTTTGTAACAATCTACTGTTTGTTTAATGAGATTTGTGGAATTTCAACCTAGTTTTTCTCCCTCTCACACTTTCTACCCGTTTCTCCTGGTTCTAGGCCTCACATCTCTTTTATTTTTCTATTTTCTGGAGTTGCCCCTTCATGCATTCTTAAAATAATATAAAGTCATAATGAACAGATGGCATCAAGCCTGGCTTTATCACTTATCCTGGATTTCTGAATCTGACCTTTTGTGAAACAGCTCTCAGTTTATCACTGTGGTTAAATATTCTGTTTTAAAGTGAGCTTTATGAATAAAACAGGATTGGACATATTGCATTTCCTACATTAAATAAACTTAAGTAGGCATTTGTGTATGATAACTTGCTGCCTTGAACACCAGATTTAGTTTCGCGTAACAAAAAGATGAGGCTAATATTTTTTTTTCTTCACCAATAAACCAAAAATAAAATCTTGCTCATGCATTAACAGTTGGGGAAGACTTTCGACAGACAGAAAGATTTCATAGAAGACCACCAGATGGCAGCACCATGACAAAAATAAAATACGCCACAATATTTTCTTCCAATTTTTCACGTTGCTCTGCTTAATTTAAAAAATAATTAGGCTTTATAATGCATTTTTTTATGCATTATACCAGAAGGTCGTCATTAATCTTTTAAAACATTTTAATGTATGACATTTCAGTCTGGATAATCATTACAAATATTTTATATGATACGATGGTATTAAACCACAACAAATTCAAATAAAAGGGCAGATGAGAGAAAAAATAGAAAATAAAAACTGGCTTGTGAAATTCTATCTGCGGTTAATTGAGACTTCGTCATATTGAGACTCATTTATCTGAAATATTTATTGCTCAACGTTGGTGACCCTATAAATAAAATTGACGAATAGCTCTCCTTATAGAAAAGTCACAGGAAGTAACCTCCCACATTAGTTACTCATGCTCTTGTGTGTCCACACCTCTGGGTGTGTCCCAGTAAAAGCAGCAGGTACATCGCAGTTTGGTTCCTGTGTCTCTCTGCTGGGAAGACTTGAAACCGTCCAGGATGGCTCTGATCGCCTTTTCGCTTCTTTTGCTCCTCTCTGTTAAATCCGGTGAGTCTTACAGTTTGTTGTTATTTAAATTCTTAATAAATCTGTATTTTAAGGTGTATTTTTTTATTTTTTAAGTATCCAACGATTTATGTTTTCGCTCTGTCCATGATGTCTGCTATGGGTGTACTTTCACTATTTGAATGAAAAACGACTGCTTTATTTATTAGATTATTTTTATTTATTTATTTTTATTTTGCTTTTGCTTACTCGCAGGGTTCTCTGCTGGAGAGAAAGTTCTACCCGACGGTCCTCTGGATGTACTTTTGGGGAAAGATTTGACAATAAATCTCCTGCGTCCAACAGGAAAAGACGATATCATAACCTGGAATTACAAGGGTTCTACATCAATTGGTACTGTAAGATCTGGTACGGTTATAATTACAGATCAATACAAAGGCAGAGCTTCCATTAACGTCACCGACGGGTCCCTGACTCTGAAGTCCATAAAACCAGAAGACAGCGGAGATTACAATGTAGTTATAATCGGGCTTACAGCTACTATTCCCGCAGAAGTTAAAATCCGAGTTCTGGGTGAGTCATTATTGCTTTATCATTGTTTTTTATTTCAGTCTGACTTTTTAACTGCTTAGTCTCTCTTGCAGCTTATGCGTAAACTGCTCCACAAAGAGTTATTTAGTTTTTTTTCCCCCTTTATTGTAATATCTTTGGTAATATGTTAGGAATTGCTGCGTCCGCAAAAGTAACTGTGACACATAACAGCCTACTGCGAGAAAATATCCCTCCGCCAACAGAAACTCAGGTATATCCATGGCTACGCCTCGTATTTCGTACTAGCCACCTTACAAGGACTACGGGGATGGGGAATACACACGCCATTCAGATGTGTTTATGCACTGTTAGTGTTTATAAATTTGCTAGGAGTGCATATCAGAGAAACATCATGAAATTTGCTGGAAAAGCCACCATTCCCGTGCACCAGGAGACATCAGGGCGTGGCTCCTAGTGCTCTACTTTGCAGTTGTAATTTGTGCTTGTTTGCAGTTTCTTTGGATCTAGCTTGAAGAGTTTTACCCTTTTTATTTTCTTTGTGTTTTTTTTTTTATGTTAGCATGACACCCTTTTTAGTGTTGTTTTGAAGCCCAGAGCCCATTTGACTACTGGTGTCCTAATTTTACCACATTTGTACGTCTACTCCCTGTATTTCTGTTCTCGATTTATCCCTAAGGATAAGGCTATCATGTTGATTTGCTTCATAGTCTTCCTGGCTCTGTGAAATAAACCAGCTTAGAAAAACAGCTTCCCACCAAAAATCATATGTAAATTCTTCAAAAAGACACACATGCAGTTGTCAGGCATTTTGGGAAAGAATCAGTTCTTCTGGTCAGCACTCCTTATATACAGATTTGGACAGATTTGTTGGTTTTAGTATTAAGTATGGTTAGAAAGTCTAGGTACAAATTCTGGCTTTACAGCAGTATCATAATCTCAGACCGAAAATCCTATGTCAAGATGACTATTTCTTGAAATAAATGCAATTGAAGCAAGTTTCATTTTTTTGTTGAACAGAATGTCTAGAGACTTACAATCAGTAATGTCCTTCTTGTTTGTAAAGATTACATTAAAATAGATGAAGTTTGTCTGATTCCCTGACCAGTTACAGACTTATCCATAAGAGGTTGTGTCTTTATATTCTTCAAGCAAAGCTATTGTTGTTGTTCAAATATATATATATATATTTAATTTAAGTTCAGATTTATTTCCAGTTGCTGTCATTTCTGTCGTCATTGGAGCAGATCTGTAAATTAGTGTAAGAAGGGGGAGTTCTTACAGTTCAGATTCAGATGTGGCTGCCACTCCTTTACATTGTTCTCACACACCCACTGTTGCCTAATCTGCCGTATGCAAGTAGTACAGTCATTGTTGGAAGTCCTGGATTATCGGTAGCCAGTTAAACAGGTCTAATGGCTGCAGTAGTTCGTCCATTTTCTTTCACTGTATTGATATGTTGATTTCAGCTCACAAATATATGTTGAAGAGGACTCAGCCCTGGGTGTGTGCATTATTGACTCTTTGCTCTTCATTATAGCCAGATTTCATCAACAAAAGAACATTTTCCTTAAGATCTTAGTGGGGATACCTTTCATATGATACATATCCTGTTAAGATTTCAACAAAGTTCAAACAAATACAGTTAGATTTCATAAAACATAGATATGACATCGTGAAATAAATTCCCTAAGACTTGAATTCATTGTCCGATTGATGTTGAGAAATGTCGTTGAGATTTATGAATTCTAAATTTGACTCTGACAACATGCTAGTCATCTTCTTATAAACTTGCATGTTTCTCTGCAGAGCCTGTGTCTGATGTCATGATCAAGTCAGACCTTCCTGAAGCCATTGAGTACAACAGCACAGTGGTTCTTACCTGCTCGTCTAAAGGATCTATCCTGAGCTTCACCTGGACCAACGACAGCAAGAGCATTCCTTCTGATGTCAAACGGTTTACAGTCCAATCGTCGGTGATGTCAGACACGGTGAAATAAGTTCATATGCATTTTGAGATTAAGAATTTATGATTCAATTAATAGTAGAGATGCAAATGCAAAGTCTTTATACACCGAGTGTAAGCTTTTAAACTAAACTGGTTGTTTAAACTTGTGAATTAAATGTGACGACATTTTGGCTCAAACTGTATTCTCTTCAGAAAAGAAAAAGTAGAAATATTGATACCTCAAACTTAATCTTAATCAACAGCTTGTTTTGAGCTTACGCAAAGTTGTAAGGAGTTGCTGATAAATATTTAATTGGTATTTTCTCTTTAGGCTGAAATACCGGGAAAATATTCTAGCAAGCTGACCATCACAGGTGTCCAGAGGTATGACCTGGTTGGCCCAATTGTCTGCACAGCATCAAACCCACTGCAAAAAGAGAGCAGCGCCAAATTCAACCTCACCACCTACTGTAAGTTATTCACCTACACTTAGCAGTAACGTCTTCTTAAGCAGCCTTAAAGGTGGAACTGATATTCTTAGAAACACATAACAGAATTGGATAGAGAGATTGCATTAAACTTCACAAAATATTATGATTACAAACTAATTTTATTGCAGCTGCAACATTTACATCTTGGATCCAAGTTTAGCATAGAAGCAGACTTTTCTTGGTTGGTAAACTCCAGTTATCTCTGAGGTCTGGCCTGCTCGTTTCAATTTAGACTACATGGACATTTGTTTTCTTAAGGACTGTAAAAAAGTTAAATGTGTAAAATCCAATAGAAAATGGAGGAATTACAACAATGTTCTCATTTGTTCTAAACTCTAATTATACTACTGACAGAAGGTTATGGCATGTATAAGGGAGCGGCTTTGCCTTGTTGGATTGGGATGTTCTCTTGTTTTTCCCATTCTGAAGACTGGCTAAAGGTAATTGGCATTGTTTTCACCTCAGGGAAAACGGAAGACACTTTTTGACTATGTCGTGGAAATATATTTTTCCTGTTGAAACAGTGAAGTAAAAGTAAATTGAAGGCTTCATTTTTGGATGTGTGTCAAACTTGCAGCTCATATCAGTCACGGCGGTTAGACAGATATCAGCAATCTCTATTCATTTCATTCAGTTTTCATTGTTTGCCAGGTTACACTTGACTGAATGAGCTCCACACCTGTTTGACAACAAAAGGTCACAGAGACCAAGTGACCATTTGTCATAAATAGTTAATCTGCCTGGTTTTCTTCTTCAGAGTCATTCCAACATATGAGGATATGCATCACGTCTGGAGTTATTCCTGTAAAAAATTAAATCCTGTTCCAATTCCAACAAAAAGCTTTATCTTAGCAATGTAAACTACTGCATTTGAAACTGCTGTGCATGTTTGCAAGGCACTCCCTTTCAAACTACCCTCTAAGGCTAAAACCACATTGTGTACACAGCAGCCTACACCTCCACTCCTTCAGCATGAATAACCTGAAAGGCGGACAAACCACACCGACCACAGCTTTAGCCTGTTATTAATTAATCAAGAGCTTACCGCTACAGTTCAGGAGGGTTCAGGAGGGACGCGTCAAGTTGATAAGAAAAACAAAGAATCTGACCATTAGTTCATAAAATCACATTGAAAATGTCATTTTTGTAACTTGCAGCTGCAGAATCACCCTGAAAGGGCCTGTTTTGTGAGCCCTCACAACCCTCCTGTACCCAAAACAAGTACAACTATAAGAGAAAGCACAATCCAAAAAACAAATATAAGTTTCTTCCATCACACTGCAAAAACACAAAAGTGATTTTGGTCGAGTTTCTACTACAAATATCTTATTACACTTGAAATAAGACAAACTAACTTAAAAGTAGCTTTTCAATATGGACCTAGTACTTTTTTATCAATACTTACTTAAAACAAGTTTTTTTATCTTGCTAAAAGTTACTTGTAAGTTAGTTTTGTCTTATTTCCAGTTTTCTAAGATATTTGCACTAGAAACTAGTCAAAAAAATACTTGGTAAAAAATCTTGTGTTTTTGCAGTGCATATATTAACTGCAGAAAAACAACCTTATAGATGTTATTGTCTGTATTTGTTCCATAGATGGGCCTGAGGATGTCATCATTAAAGCCTCTTCCCAGGGGAAATATGTCCCGTCCAATTCAGATTTCAACCTGACATGTTCGGCCTCCTCCAAACCCGCTGCCACTTTCACCTGGTTTCATAACGCAGAGCAGATAGAGGCCAGTGGTCCAGTCCTCACCCTGAAAGTCATTGAGGAGAAGGGATTTGGGCATACGATGGGCAACTACAGGTGTGTCGCTAAAAATGACAAGACCCAACGAAAGGTTCCATCTACTAATGTTGAGTTCTCTGTGATGGGTGAGTATAACCCGATGTTTGTTTAATCAGGTACTGTGTTATCACATTTACATCTGGAATGGTTGGCCAAATATTTTCTTTTACAATAGTAATCTTAGTATCGTAGAGTTATTATTATTATTAACATTACCTTAAGAGAAAAAATAGTTTGAATTGACCATTAAGCCAACAATGTAATTCAAATGAGACTTTATCAATATCTTTAAATTGGAGGTAAAATATGCGTACAGATTTTTCTTTTAAATAGATTCAGTAAAAGATAGGATGTAGGGAAATAATAATATAAGTTTGCTAAAAAGAAATAGGTAAGTACAGGACTAAAGTCTCAGATTTGTGACACTAGAACCAGACTGTCAAATTAACACCTACAGGCAGATCTTCTGCATTCAGGGACACCCAACAAACAGACCGTAGCTCGTACTTGATATTTTGTGTCGCAAGCAGTTTCTGTAATTTGTAGCCAAACGTTATTTTACATCTTGCTTTCTTTCACGGCTGTCGTTTCCTGCTGATAAACAATTTCTGCGTGCAAAGCTGCTGGGTTGGATGGTCTTAGATTATGCCTGAAGGAGTTATTTTTGTTTTTGATTGTTAGTCAAAGCAGAAATGTGACAGTTGGATCCAGTTTGAAACTGGCCTCACCTTTTCTTTTGGTGACTCATGTCACCTTTAGCATGTTGAGACAGCATTAAATTATTAAATCTCCAGCATTACAGCAAGAAACAAGAGACATATGGAGTCGTCACGCTTCCAGTAAGGAAGTGAACATTTGCATTTAAAAATGAAAAAGTTCCATCTAAGCCTGAAAACTAGTTGTGGCCACATTTTACGGAAACATTTATAATGAATGGTAATGAGTTTTTTACTCTGCTATGGAGGAAGTTTTGTCAACTCTTATTTGTAGAGTAGTTTTATTTTAGTCCCATTGGATAGTCCTCTAGCATGACCAGCCTGTTTGAGACAATCACAAAGTATCTTTATGAATTATTATTATTATTTTTTTAATTTCAGAAACCATTTCAAAATCTTTAAACCATCGGAACAGTATATATTAATCACAGGCTTAAGCAACAAACTGAAACCGTTCCTTCACACCCACATGTCACATTCTCTACATATAAGTCACAATAATGAGATAATACCTAAAGTTATTTGAACTGACTTAAAATGATGGCTTCCTTCTTTCCATTTATGCTTGCAGAGGCCATTTCTGATGTTAAATTAAGTGGTCCTAAAGGTATCCTCATCGCTGGCAACAGCAGCGCCAACCTCACCTGCCAGGCTATGGGTGGCAACGTGACAGCTAGAGTCTGGTTGAAGGATGGTAAACCCCTTTCTCCCGACTCCCATGTCAAATTCTCCAGCGATAGTACCTCAATATACATCGACGTGCTGAAGAAAGAGGACAATGGGGATTACGTATGTCGGCTCAGCAACTCTGTCAGCACAAAAGAAGCTAACTTCACAATGACGGTCAACTGTAAGTGTTTGCTAAAGCATTTATTGTGTTTAGTTGATTCAGTGATGACAGTTTCACGTTTAATCTTTACCTCACTTCATCCAGATGGTCCTGAAGCACCAGTGGTGAAGGGAGACCCAGAAGTGCAGTTGAACACACGTGTGGAGCTCACCTGTTCTGTCTCGTCTGTCCCTCCTGCCAAAATTATTTGGAAGCTAAATGGGACAGTGATCCCTGGTGAAACAAAAGAGAAGTTGATCTACAATAGCATAGACTATAAGAGCTCAGGAACATACACATGTGAGGCAAGCAATGAAGTCACTGGGAAGTCCACCAAATCCCTCCCTCTCTCTGTCACTGTCAAAGGTAAGATTATTATGCCAGTCAATTGTTATATTAGTATTACATCAGTAGTGCCAGATGCAGAACACAACTGTAGATTAAGTGAGTAGCACATATTTTGGTGTTTTGAAATGTTGCATCATTTAACTCCCTAACCGTTTTGTTAATAATCTGCCAGCAAAACCAGAAACCTATTACTCTTGGAACACTTTGCTACAGTATTTGTTTGTCTGACATCATAGAGAGTAAGAGCAACCTGACTCAAGAGTCATTTCATTTTCCTCACCTTCAAAAATTACATTCCTGGGTATAGAAAAATTAAATTAAAGCCTAGTAAGCAGTATACAGTTGGTAAATCACACATCTATTGGAATATCTTTATCTTTAGGACTTTGGTATGTATTACATAACATGCGTTTGAGACTTTTCATAGTGTAAATTCAAATAATTTTCTCAAGAAAGATCATTTGAATGTGGTGAGAAGATGGAACTGATTCAGAAAAGGCCTGTCTTGTTCACCATGATTGTATTGAGCTAATCTGTGCTGCTTGTAAATTGTTGGTAAAGAATCTGGATATTCTATTTGAAGCATCTGAATTATTTCATATGAACACAAGCTTTGTGCATAATGAGTTTGATTTCTATAAAGGTAATTGTTCTTCAGCACATGAAAATGATTTCAGTGAAAAACTGTGATGTTTATTTCAGAAATATATGTTTTGTCTGGTTCTGCCAGCAAATCAAGTGATCTCTTTAGCCAAATGAAAAAAAAGTTTTGGTCCAATGCATGCAGATCTCTGTAAGCATATGGCATCTCTTTGAATTGTTTGAATCTGTGTGCACTTTACAATTCAGTTTGAATCCTGCAAATTTGAATGCAGTGGTTGCATTTAAAAATAAAGAGTCAGAATCAGCTTATCTATAAATTTACCATGTTGAATTCCAGAGTAGTTCTAGTTGAGGCTGCACAAGACAACACAACTATGCTGCCATCAAGATCTCAGTGTTCAATGTTATTAACCCAAACAAGGAACTGGGATGGGATTTATCTTAGAAACTGTTTTCCATTTGTCATAAATTCATGCCTTGCATGTCAGTAGTATTTTCAGTCTTTTTGATGAAGTTGACTCAATACATCAAACATGTGACAGTGCGCAAGGTGTCCAGAAAGGCCTCAGAGAATAAGGGAAGCATCATAATGACCTTTAAGTAAAATTGGAGGCAGGAAAATTCGCATTTACTGATATCTTCATCCCAACATTTGACAATAGCATCACAGCCACACAGTTTCCTAACATTTTGCAGTTCCAGGACGCTCTCGGTTGGTTGCTCGCTCTGACAGTGTCTCTCATTCGACTGCCACCATAAAAATCATTTTGCACACAAACCACCAGTTTCCCAACAATAATGATGGGATGCCCTTCATGTCTTCTGTTTTGCAACATTCAAAGACCTTTAAACTGATGCTACAACTAAAAACTAATTGGACAAATTTCCCATATAAAATTTAAACCTATCTCATGTGATCAGACAGACTTACTTCATCTTTCTGGTTGGAGCTGTATTTCATCAACCCCAAAAGAGCACAGGTCTTATCAATGTGCAAACATTTTTTTTTGTGATTACTGGGGCTTTAACTGTTGTTGTGTGGTGTTTTTCTAGAAAAAATAGACGAAGGTCTCTCAGATGGAGCCATTGCCGGAATCGTCATCGGATGCCTTGTCGCAGTTGGAGTCGCCATTGCCTTGTTCTTCTACTGCAGAGGGAAAGTACCGTAAGTACTCTTTGTCTTTGTGCAGCAAGTTTTCATGCAGATTTGATGATGAACAGATCAAACGGTGAAGAAGAGAAAACCAGAGGAAAAGGGATGAACTGGTGTTCATGTGTGAGAATACCACCAATCCAATTCCATTGTCAGTGTTGTGCTTCCTGTACTTTCAGGACTTGTTTTTGAAGTTTCTCTTAAGCAGAATCCAGGCTCTATGTGTTTCTCTTTTAGTTCATGCAAAAGGTCAAAGATAGGATTTATGTCAAGTTCTTTGACAGAAAATGGTTTAAAGGTTAGTTTGTTGTGTACAGGAGAACTGATTGGCATTATGGGGGGAAATGGTTTAACAGAAACTCTTGTTTTAAACATCTGTGAGCTCATTCTTGCTAGATCTAAGGACCAGTTGAAACCAGAATAAATTCAGTCACATGCATCAACATATTTAGAAGCAATGAAAGAGTGAATTGTTTTTAATCCTGGCAGCGTTTAGCTCTGCTATTGTCTCTATAATTTACTGTCCACTGAGTCCAAGAGAAAGCTGCTGTTGTGTTTTTTGCTTCCGATGAATGATAAATTGTTCTACTTCACTGCTTCTTGCCGTGTCTGTAACACCTCTCTTTGTTTCTGTTCCTCAATATTGCGACCACTTTGTGACCTTCTAGGAAATTCTGGACATTCCTCTTGCTTTGGTGCCTTGCGACATGTCAGGATGATGTACAAACGCATCCAAATTATGCAGTTGCTAAACTCTTACAGCACTGAATTCCTTGTGTTGCATGAAAATATTTCACCACTGAATCCAATTCTTGCACCTACGAAAAATCTGGGCAGACAGACCGAATTCATTGCTACAAATTTACAAAGAGAAGAGCAGTCCCAGCTGTCAAAATATGCTTTTAATTGTTCTTTTTAAATATGGCATGGTTAGTAGCACCAGATAGAATAATTGTATGGATAATAAGTGGAAGTGAACAGGTGTTGTGTTCCTAGTAGAACTGAGCCAGTATGAGATTGTCATAGTGTGATAACATAAATTTGAATTGCATTTACAAAAACGGCGGTGATCCATTACGTTATGATCCATACATCCACAGAATATTCTGGTCGCTCCCAAACTTTCACGGACATCTCACTGAAAAAGTCTTTTAACCATCGGAACAGTATATATTGTTCCAATTAATCACAGGCTCAAGCAGCAAACTGAAAGCGTTCCTTCACACCCACATGTCACATTCTCTACATATAAGTAACCTTATACCACATCCGGTGGTGTTTCATCATACTGGACCACAGCAGAAACCGCCATCCTGAAACAAACGAGTGAGTCACTGAGAGATATTCACATTCCTCGCTTCAGAAACTAGAGGCAAAAAGTTTACACGCAGCTGAGCGCTCAAAGTAAAACTTTACAAAACTAAAATAACACTACTTGTTACTCTTTTCTTCTCTCTCTAGTAAATTGTGATTTTATTAGTAGTTTCATTTTATCACCTAACTAAATTAATGGCCTAATTCATTTTTTGCTTACTTTATGAAGGTTATGATTTGTAGTGGCCAATAAAAGTCAAATCAGAAAATTGGCTTTGTTACATTTATTGCCTATAATGGCAAACCAATAATTGTCTCTTTAAAAAAACTGAAGTGCTGCTTGCAAAATTCAACAAGTGTGGCTTGTGAGAGCATACATTCAGCAGCCATCCAACCGGTACTTCTACTTTTGTTCCAAAGAAATACACTAAAGAAAAAGGAATGAAACCGTCACTTATGCTTTCGGTTAAAGTGAGACTTCTTTTGCAGCACAAGGAAAGAAGCCAAAGATTCATGAGAATTGTTTCAGCCATCCCAGAATTACTTACACAAAGTGTAAAGTACTTTAAGCCTCTACCTTCAGGTTATTAAAAGATCTCTTATAGCTGAAGAACCAGTTCGTCATGTGAGATCGTGTTCTTTAGGTAGATCTTTCCCTCCTTCCTTGGCCTTTAGCAAATCTCCTGTCAGGATTATCTGATGCTGCGGGGGTCATCGGGTCTCAGGCTCAGATGTAGTGGGAGGTGTTCTTATTTAGAGGAACTCCCAAAGACCCTGAGGCCTCGAAGGTATTCACTTGTCAATCTTGCCATTGGGTTGTCTTCATCAAATGTCAATGCCGTTTATGTTAAGGGCAAACTGCTCAGTGGAGTTGTGTCTGGTAGGAAGAATCCAAGTCATAAATTCGTCTTCAGCCTTCTCCCTAAAGGTTCTGGATACACTGTGTGTGAAATCGCCCCACACTCTCTAAGATTAAATACTTATAACGTTCTTCAGATGAGATGATGAGTTTGGTTGCTGTCTGAGGTTCCTTCTGTTCCTGTCAGGATTTTTGCACATAGGTTTGCTTTGAGGGATTTGATTTGGTGACCGGTAGAGCTTTTTTTTCTTATCTAATCTTGAAAAGCTTCTCTGCACTGGGGCAGATCAACCTGGCAACATGGTAACAAACCATGTGATACAGGAGTGAAACTCAAACACTGCTGGGCGGCCCTTTAATCTTACAATCCAGACTTTAAGTGCATACTGCAGATGTTTTGGTCAAATATGACATTTGAGAACTTTTTGTGTAGGTGGAAGGTAATGCAGCTTAAGAGAGCTGTCAAAGAGGTGAAGCCAGAAGTGAGGAAGGAACTAAGTTAATTGTTGCATTCAGCCTTCTCAGACATGCCAAGCCAAAAGTGGCAACAACCAAAATGCAGACAGAAGATGACAGACTGTGCCATAACCTGTACTGGCAGTTCAGCACAAATATGCCAGCTCAGCAATAAACATGTTGCTGCAAAGAAAAATTATTTCTTATTAAAGTGTTGAAACGTAAACGATTTCAGGTGTAACAAGTTAAAAGCTGACTCCTTAGTCCTACCTCAGTATTTCTTGGATGACACTGCCTATCAACTGCAGTGTTATTTTCGTAATACACTTGCACAGTCTAGGCTCTTAAAGTACCAAAAGGTAGTAGTATTGTCTAATACCCTGCATAGTTACAGTGTCTCTATCAAAAGAAGTACTTTTGGGATTTAGTGGAACAGGAGATTTGCATCGTGGATGTGCAGCAGACAGATAGGTAGCAACTACCTATTTGCACAGTTCTCTCCTGTCAGTATGAACCCAAAATGACTAAGGAATGCTTCCAAAACCTTGTTAAATGTTTGCCACAATCAGCTAAGGCAGATCTCGAGCTAAAAGGGGATCCAAACTGTCACTAGCAGGATGTATTTGATGTCTGTTGAGTGTATTTGTGTATTCAAACATCCAACTTTTCGAGGGAAATTGCTACAAAACAACTGACTGTTTGTGCTTAAGGAGTCAGTTGACCTCAGACTGGAGGGCTGAGGTCAATTTTCCTGGTACTTGAATGTTTTGTGCTCTAGGGGAAAACAAACATAAAGGATGAACAATAGACTAAAGCCTAGGAGGCCATATCTAAATGTCTTCAAAAGTCAAAATAAAGATAAAACTCCCTCAATGGGTCTTATAAGGATTCTGAATGACAGAAGAAAGCACGTAGATTAAGCTGCAGGTGCAAACTGATAACATACAAAGAGACACTGCCTCAACTTGTGCAACACAATAAAACCACCCATATGAAACATTGTGCAATCTGTTTTGTGCATAGGCATACGTACAGTTATGCCCATGTTTTTCAGACATCTAGCAGTTATATTTCAGAAAAAGTTAGATTAGCAGCTACCTTATATGTATTTACAGTTAACCTACTGATAAAAAAATAGTCACTCACTTCTACCCATGACTACTCTAAAAACATGTAATTTTTACAAACACTTATTCCTGCAACAATGACTTTATAAGAAGTGCATTTGTTGATGCTAAGTTGTAAGAGCAAAATTTCCATGGAGAATGTTTTTTTTTTCTTAGATAAACCTTAATCTCATGGTTTCTGTAAATCTACTTTTTTGTGAAAACTTGCAAAGCACATTAGAGTAGATTGGTGCAGTTAAGTCAAGAGAAACAGAGACCAAATGTTTTGTTTGCTTAGGAACCAAGGTGCAACGATAACGTTAGATTACGATGTGATAATGTAACTTTAGTCAATGGCAGGGGGCCTGGAGAAAACATCCTGTCATATGTTACACCACCAGAGGCACAACAGAAACTGAAATCCCAAAGAAATGCAGAAACAGACAAGCCAGTGGCAGAGTTTCATATCTACAATGACTAGTTGAAGAGTTTGCAGCCCTTGAAAGTTGAAACTTTTTGCAAGTTCTTTACCACCAAGTGGAAAATCTGTTTGCAGGGCAACTATTAGTTGTGTACTCCACACATCTGGCTCATATAGAGTAATGGCAAGAAGAAAACCAGAGTTGAAAGTTAAAAAGTCCTGTTTCAAGTTGTTAGCAAAACATTTGGAGGAAATGTTGAAGAAGGTTCTCTGGCCAGAGACCTAGATTGGATGTTTTGTCTTCTGAAACAAATACTTGGTATGATGGAAAACTTACGCAGCAGATCACCTTGAACAAACCACCCCTGCTGTAAAACATGGTGGTGGCAGCATCATGTTGTGGAGATGCTTTTCTACAGCAGGGAGATGGAAACCTGTCAGAGTTAATGTGAGGATTGATGGAGCTAAATACAGGACAATCCTTGTTGATGTCAAAAGACATTAGTCCTGGCTGAAGGTTCACTTTTCACCAGGAGTTAGAGAGGATATTCAAGCACATAGGAAACAGTTGACAACCTAACCCCAATATTCAAATAAAAATGCTGCATGAATAAGAACTGGCAAAGACTTGCGTCTAAAGAACTGACTTCATATGAGAATATAGGACATTAGTTTGTAGTTTAGCAACATGGATCCACTGGAAAAGGTTAGCAAACCGAGTAGCTTTTCGCATCATATTCAATTAACCTCAGCCGGTTTTCACAGGCATAGAAGAAGTGAGAAACAAAACTCACAGGAAAGTCGCAAACAAATGTGATATCAGTTTTGCTCCAAGCTAAAGTGCCCACTGTCCCCACATGCTTCCTCTTGTAACTGACCCCTTTCATTTAGGATTAGCTTCGTCTGGTGTTGTGCAAACACGATCTGAGTGCATTCCCGCTTCTCCTCACGTGTCACTCACATTCAGTAATGGAGAGGCGTACGGAGAAACAGCTTGGCAAACCGTGCAGGTTTTAGAGGAAATGCATATTACCCCTCACCGCCTGGCAACTGTGGCACGCAAATTCAAATTTAAATTACAAAGTGAATAATCAAATATCAACATCTGACAGAAATTGTTGATTTACCAGCAGCTTATACATATTTAAGGAAAATGTTTGATTTCTACATAATATAAATTTGGAATAATATTTAAAGCTCTAGATTTACCAGGTAGGTGGTAAGACCCATTTAACTGTATTACTGTGGTGTCTTCCTGCTGCCTCTGATATAGTAGTATAGTTGAGTGAATATAAGAAAAATAATTCCTATTCTATGAATCTATGCCATAAAATACCTGGAGAGTGGTTAAATCAGTGACTATAACCCTAAAGACTTCTTCTTTGTCATTTTCATTTTGAGTTTTGAAAGTATTTGCTTGTCGCTGGAGGCAAATCCGTCAGCAGCTAGCTCACACGATGTTGTCAGATTCTTATCTACTGAGTGGCTCACATCACAAAGTGCACTTGTTTTTATGCACACACAAGCTTTGAAGTTCATTTTCAAACTTGCAGACACAATTTCTAAAAATGCCTACCTAAGTTGCATCCAGTTGTTGATTATTTTTGTTTTTATTATTATAAACTGCTTTAGGGTGCAAGTATTGGTTACATTGGCCAAACTTCTCAGGTTCTCAGAAACCTGTTTGACAAACTCAACCTTTTCGGCAACATGGTGGCCTCCTTTTCTTTTCTGAGATTCTCCTTTCTTCAGCAGAAAGAAAAGGGTTCTGTGTTCAACTAGCTTCATCTTTCCCGTGTGCAATCATTCACAAAATGCTTTTTTTCCACACCCCTTTATGATACTGTATTCAGATAAAAAATAAAAAAGCTGCCTGGTGGGAAATCCCACATATCCATCAGTCATAATTACAAGTTGGATGTAGAACTCCATGTTTTGCACCTGAAGCTTGTGCCTACAGTTAGGTTGACTTTCTTTCTTAGAAATAGTAACAGGCATCTGGTTCTGTTTGTTTTAATAGGGTTAAGAACAAAAACATTACATTTTTAACACGCAAAGCATGTCGGCTATTGTTGGTCTTACAATAACAATTTTATGGGCAACATTTTTTGCCGGGCATATTTGCAAGAAGCAAGTTGTAACATCACCGTGTCATCGGATCTACTCTAATTTTGCTATCACTGAATGATTTACTTGCTGAAACATCTGTTTTAACTGTCGACGCTGCAGTGTGATGTGATTATACTTTGACTTCATGTCTGCAAATAATATATTATAGAAACCTTTGACCTCAGTTTCACTCTCAAGTCTGATTCCAACAGCCTACTTTACCTGCTTTTAGTTTTATGAGTCACATTTTTGATAGGGTATCTTTTAAAACAGCTTCTTGGCTATGCTAGCGTGTCAAAGAGTCATTGGTGTTGTTTTTTGTTCTCAGTGGAGCCAGGCTTACATTTTGAAACTATTGCAGGAATGTTGTTGTCATGTCTGGACTCGTTCTCCTACGCTCACCTGTGTCGCTGCTCTTTAACGCATCTTCTGGTGTCGTTTTGATCTTCTCTCATCTCTTGACCAAATCATAGTGGCCACATCCTTTTCCTCACTATCTCAAACATTCTTTAGCTATTTTTTGCTACTTCCGCTTTTTAAACAAATTGAATGTGCTGCCTTGATGGTTAGCTGTGCTGCTTTGCTTCTCAAATGTGAGCGGTTTTCTGGAGTCGTCTAGCTTCGTTAGGGACAGAAAATCAAGCAAAGATTTAACATTTAAAACAATTAAGAACCTCAAATAAGAAAGAAAAATAAATGCTATAGTGAGATTAGGCTGACTCTTTTGGGAACTGATGATTTATCAGTGAAATATGCATAACACTTGCATAATATCTATTATTTCCTCTTTTTTCTGTTTTTCTATCAAGTTTGTGATTTATTAAGTGATGAAATGCGTATAAATTCTTAGCATATTCAGAAATAGATAGAGTTTAGGCTCAATCCTTGTAATCATTCAAGTACAGTCTGTTCAGAATATTTTCATTTAAGTTCAGGACAAATTATGAGTTTAAGGTTTATTCCACCTTAAACTAGAATGGAAATATACTCTATTGTCCCTCAGTGAGGAAATTCTTTAATTCAACTTTCTTAATCGTTCCTGTTTGTTTGCTGCCTAAGGTTATAGAGACCCAATGACACACTTACTGCATGTTTTCCCAGCGGTTTCTTCCGTTGTTTCATTTCTCTGAACTCTGTTGTTTTGTCTGGTTCTGCTCAGCACAGTTTCAGTGATAAGGTACAGTGACTCACCTGCAAGGCATTTGTAGGGCCGGTTACTTACTTTCACAATGGCTCTCCCTGGCTTCCTGATTGCACCTTTACGGTCACATAGTTACTTTTATGAAGGGGAAATAAAAAAATGCTGGGCGGGAGATTTGAGTTCAACAGGTAGAGATTAGAATGAAGTCCAGATTGCAGGTTTCTGCTTTTCTTTTATTCAATCAGATTGTAGATGTGACGTTATCATCAGTCTTTTAGCAGTGATAACACTGAGGTGCCCTGCAGAAATGTTGAACATTCAGCATGCAACTCTGGTCAAAAACTGGAGAAAAGTGTCTTTAGTGACAGGCCCTCTGCCCCAGACATCTCTGAAATTCATACGATTGTTGTCATTCTTTTTGTCGGAAACTGTTACTTCTGTAGCTACACTGCAGATAAAACTGCAACAAATAAATGTAGCTAGTCACAATGACTATCAGATATTGTGAACACTGGTACAGCTGCAATTTTGTTTGTTTATTTGTTGTTAATTGAGCTTTAATCAACAAAAATGTCCCTTCTAAAGAAATGTGCATATAAAGCTCAGCAACTATTTTTGTTACAACCAGATCAACAGATTGTTATATTTGTTTTTTTTTTTTTTTTACATTTGCAGCATACTAAGTACATTTAAATGCAAAGGCTTTTTTTTTAACTTTCTTAAAGGGACAGGTTGAGGTCATTATTAAAAATTATGCTTTTTGCTGTCATAGTGCAATTTGTTTGGAGAAAATGAACAAAATCCTCAGTGCAATAGGAGATAGGCACCAGCACTTCTCCCAACTCCACTAGGGACAAGGGTGTTAGAAAATGGATGGATGGATGGAGAATATAAAATATTCATACGTGTGAGATGAGACCCTAAAAAAGCAGATGAATAAACTTTTGCAGGAGTCTATTTATGCAGCCAAATAATGTCTCTGTCACTAAGGTTATGTTAATCAAAACTGCTGGTTGTACCAGTCTGTCTGGTCAGTCATTCATTAGTTCACTGGACAAATTTCCCTGGGAAATCTAAACAGTCCCCAGGGTTTTTCTACATTTGCCTGGATGAGAACCATTGATACAGTAAAACAAGTGACAGCCTGTCTCAATATCTAAAAGTTAGCTCTGCGTCGCAGCTCATCTGATGCAGCTGTAGTTCATACGTGTTGCTCAGCTTAGAAAAGAGCCATGAATTTGTTTTTTTAATTGCTAAAATGTTTAACCGGGTGTTAGCTTTACTATGCTGGTTACTTTTAACATTTTCTATAAGCTCGCAGAAATGTGATATGGCTGAAAGTCACTTAAAACGATCCGAATTATTCCTCTAAGAGTGCTTTTATGCTAAATACGAGATGAGCTGTTTTAGTAACGAGATCACCAATATTTAAGTTTATCTAACCCAGAATTAATTTGTGTACAAACTGTTTAAAACTTCAGACATGATTTGTTTTTCAATGCAAATGAGTGAATTTTTACAAATGGCCTCCAAGCTAAATTTATTTTAGAGTTTCGAGTGCTAATCTTCTTTTTAAGAATTTGTATTTGATCCGAGACGATACTATTTTCAGAATGTCTCAGTGAGATACCAATCATCCCAAAGGTATGTCGAGGAAATAGTGATTTTTTTTTTAATTTATTTTGTTTAGCTGTTGTTTGATCTTGAACCAACTGAATCCTGCTAGCATTAAGTTTGGTCCACCTGAAAATATTTGTATCTTTCCAGCTGAAATTAAGATGGTAGAAAGGAAGAATCTGTTGTCTTGCAGTTTTGCCAACGATGTCTGTCAGAGGTAAACACTGTTTCCGTTGTGTTTTTCAGAGTGTCGTCACCATACTAAAGACGTCCATCTGCTGGTAAGTCACTGATAACTGTATTTGTCATGAAGGCATGCACTTAAAGACATTATTAGTTTGAAGTTGAGCAACACCCATTTTGAACTGATGTTCAACAATTACACATTCCCAAAATTCAACCTAATATGCAGATTCTGATAGAGGTGATGTAAGAATCTGACTTTGCAATTGGCCTCGTGATTAAACGCCAACATTGGTAAATAATCACAAGCCTCCCCTCGTGCTCATCTTTGCACTAACGTCGCCTGTGTTTTTCTGTGTGTTATCTGGGTTTGATGATGTCAGTATGAAACCAGTACAGTTGTTACCAAGGCCGTCTCCACTTTTCTTATGCAGCCTTGAGCGTCTCTAGCTGCAGTAGTAGGGTTGTCACTGTGCTTGAGGCTTTGAAACAAGACCACGTCTGAGCCTTGCAGCTTTCCTTTTAAAGCTTCTGTCTGCAGCGTCGCTGCTGTTTACTGAAAACTGTTTGATCTGCCAACACAAGACCACAGATAAGAGTAAAGCCAAGCCAACCAGCAGCTGCCAAGTTCTCTTAAGAAAAAGTCTTCTGAAGCAAACATCTGTGGTGCAAGACAGCTTAAAAAAAACCCCAAAAATTCAAAATTGTGTTATATACAATGTGTTTGCGTTATTTATTTTTGCAGTCTATCAGCTTTCTCATCAAATAAATTAGCAATATTTTAAAGACTTTTCACAATGAGCGAACGTTTGCGATGGTGCCTCACTTTGTTGATTGCTAACATACGACATGATTAGTCTGATAGTAGAAGACCCAGAACTAGACATAAATATTTTACTAAACATATTTTTGACACAACACACACAGCCAGTTTTCCATAAACTCTCCTCATGCTTCTGGTGTTTTCATCCAGCGGATTTTGCTAAAGTACTATGCTAATGCTAACATGTTTTGGTACAGATTCACCGATAATTTGGCTCAAAACACATTTCAGTGAAGCTCCAGTTAATTGTATGTGGGCAGAAAACAGGAAAAAAGTATTTTCACCTAGCAAGAAAGTTGTGTGGTAATTTTTGAAGAGTAGTTTTTCAGCTCTGCTCCCCCAGGTTTCATTTATTGTTTGGGCAGTGAAGCATGCAGCTCAGGTCACACAACACAAAGGAGCGACAGCAGCAATTATAGTCTCTCTGCCACAGCGTGATGTCATAGTTGTTGTCCTTTTTAAAGGACAACAACTATGACTTTAGTGTTTTTGCAAACACTAAAGATAAAAACAGACTGATTTTTAAAATGTAGTTCCTCCATTTTGTCTGGAAATCCTATTACAAATATAAAAAAAACACTTGTGATTAGAAAATCCTGAACTTCACATCATTTTTGTGATTTGATTTGCAATAACAATAAAAGTAAGAAGCACATTTGACTTTATAATAGGATTTTGTCATTGGATACATTCAGAGTCTCACAAACCCAAATTCTTCTCACATAAATTAAACTTAATATCTTGATGGGTTCAGCCTGATGTCCTGCAGCTTTATGCATCTCTTCTCCAACACACCTGAATCAAATGAATGGCTTGTCACACTGCAGAGCCGAACAGCTGAGTCTGAATCGTTTTGGTTCAGGTGTGTTTGAACAGGAATGCATCTGAAACTTGCAGGCTTGTTGATGAACGGAGTCGGGCATCCCGACTTCATTCACTCATTACATTAACCAATGTAACGACTTGCACCATTTGTATCTCCAGTTATGTCGATGTTGTGTCACAGCTTATATTAATTCTGACATGAACCAAGAGTGAATTTCATCACTTTTGATAAATGCAATAAATGCCCATCCCTACCTGGGATCAGGTCATGAAATCCCCGGTTGTAGTGCCAGACAGGCTAAAGGATTGTCTTTATTGGAGCAACAGAGACATTAACAGGCTGTTCTTTACAAGACAGGTTTTCTTCAACTCCTTCTAAACAGACCTTAGGCTTCACTAGACGGTAACACTAAACAAATACTATTACCCACCTGCACGGCTCAAGTCATTTTTCAACAAACGTTTCTGTTTGCTGTCCTGCTGTGAGCTGTGCTGATGAGGAAGTAGCATTTGTCCCTAGTTTGTATTTCTGTTTCATTTGCAAAGCACACATGCAGAGTATTTTCAGGAACTACCTGCAGTTCTGCTCCTACTAATAGTTACTCTGACATCATCCTGAAGAAATCGATGCTGTGATTAAATGTCTGTTACAGTTTGCTCAGTTGTCAAAGATGACTAAAGCTGAAGAACTGATCTGCTCTACTTTTGTAACACTGACTCCTCTCCTCTGCTTTTGTTTAGGCTTGAAATGTCTACCGTTTGGGTACCCATGATCCTCTTGTGCATCTGGGAGGAGCGCCTGGGTGGATCCAGCTGGTTTCCTTTGAGCAACTCGTCCAACCAGCTTCTTCATTATGCCTCTCTCTTTCTCCCTCTCCCTGGCAGACAAGGATCATGGAAGTCTAGTTTTACTGGAATACTAGATCATGTTACGCTTTGGATTACAAACCTTTTAATTTTACTGCAACTATCTTCAATTTCATTTTCATTTTCCATTAATAAGCTGCTCCACTTCTCTGGATCAGTTGCTTTTTTTTTGTCTGCCTTAACTACAACATGTTACCAAACCTCAAACCTCGACCCTTAGCTTCTGTCTTCCTTCCTGCTTTTTTTTTATTTTTATTTTTTTTTTTCCTGAGGAGGAAACAGAAATTTCTGCCGTGGAGACACTCATGAACTGGTGACTGCGATGAGTGACTGTCTTTATCCTGCTGGAAACATGAGGAGAACACACACACACACACACACACACACACACACACAGAGAGATAATACCTAAAGAAATGTGATGCATACATGCATGGGTGATCAAAACCATGGAGGCCACAGGGGGCAGAATCTGGGGTAGCTTGGTTCAAAAACGCAGCAGGAATATATTGTATTTGATTTGTGTCACCGTCCGTTCCACGTAGGTGGAGTTACGCTGATAAGAGCCAAGCACAGCGGAGGGTTATCAGGATAAACATCTTTCTCAGAGCTTTTATCTGTAATGCCTCAGTTTTTTTGGGGCTCCCCAAAGGAAAAAAAGTTTTTTTTTTTTTTTTTTTTTACCACACCTGCTGAGTCAGCTTTTTTTTATTTTAATTTATCCTAAACTGAGGTCACTACAAGCCTGTCGGCATCTCTTCCTCAACCTGACAGCTTCACTCAACACCACTTTTGTGTAAAAACGAGCAAAGCTGTAACATTTACTGAATTTATCTTGTCTCTTTTATACTAGCAGACCACCATGATCTTTAAAAACAATAGATGTATAATATTTATTGATTGAAATCCTTAAAATTCCACTTTGTAAAATAAAAAAAAAATCAGGAAAGGCTCATATGTCACATAAATATGCTCAGATGGTAAAACTAACAGAAGCAACACATTTAACTGCTTTCTGTGTAACTCTTTTCAAAGTTTCAAAGTCTTTAGTCTTTGATGATAAAGGAAGATAACTATAATATCCATCATGCAACATTTTGTATCTAATATCAAAACAAATGTTTTTTTTTAATTATTTAATCTGATCAATATGAGCAACTATGCAGCTTTAGGTGGTTAAACAATTGAACCATCTTGTTTTTTTTCTTTTTTTGCCACCTGTTTTACTTTTTTTTAATCTGACTCTGCAAACGTGTTTGAGTTTCTCCATACAAGTGTTACTCTGTAATCTTAGCTGGCTCCCACGACTCCTCTCAGCTATCCATCCTGTACCTTTATATGTTGCTCTCTGAAGCTCAGGATCCGCCCTCCTGGTTTGACTCATCCTGTCATCTTAGGAAGAACAGACAGAGGAGGAGGGAAGGGTTGAAGATGGCAGAGACAGGACTCAGCATGCAGAGCCACTTCAGTCAGGTTAGGAGGAAGGCAGGAAGAAAAAGCGAGCAGGAAAGTGTCTTAGGCCTCAAATTCTTTAAGAACTGGAGGGAAAGTCTGATGAGCTGTCACGATGCTGCTCGTTTTTTCTAACCACAACTGTAAAGAAGTTGCTTTAAACTAAATTATGGCTTTTAGAGACTTTGTGGAACTAGTTTTAATTTGAAAAGGCATCTGAAAAACATATCTGTGGTATTTTGAAGTTCAGCATTTAGCTGTTTCTTCCTGAGTATTTTGTCAGCGTCCTTTTTTTGAAAAAAAAAAAAAAATACATATATATATATATATCTTTGTGTGGTTCATGGTTATGTGTGATCTCAGACTTCAACCTGCACTGATCTCCAGGAAAACAAGTATTTATTTTGTTGAGTTTTAGAAGAAAAAACAACCTTTAGAATCATTGGAGCTGAAGATCATAGCCCATAAGCAGATCACACATGCAGAAACTGTTTGAGTTGTAGGTGAAAAACTTCAGGTCAGTTTGCACCTTCATCAATTCATACCCCTGTTTTGGATTCCTGCTTTGTCATTTCGTCCATATTTCTGTAATTTATTTAAATTTGTCAATAAATATTTAATCTAGGCAATAAATTAGTAATGGAAAACCTCAAATCTTGGAAACCTGATACCAGGGCTGTAGGAGGATGTAGGTCCCTCGTCAGGCATGTTGCTGCAATTTACAGGAGATAAATAGTTAAATATAAATTGCCTTCAATGTTTTTAGATCTTTGCTTTATAGTTTTTTTTAAAAAAAAAGAAACAACCTGTGTTTGTGTAATTGTTAGATATTTCTTGCAACATTTCCAGAAATATCTTCTTCCACACAAAACTATGTAGATTAAATAGAAAACAAACTAAAACAAAAACTAAACCGTTTTCTTGCCCAAGTTCTCAAAACAGGTATAAATCCTCCCAAATCGAGGTACGAATTGATGTGTGGTTGTTACAAAGCATCCTGTGGCACCAGGTTCCTGCACCCACTCAAACTGAGTATTGACAAGTTTAAAACATATTTATGTGTTGAGTTTACAATAGAATATAGTGCAGAGAATGTATTCATAACGGCATGTAAATATGACATTTGTTGCCCTAAACGAGACGTGTTCATATGTTTTAAACTGCATGAAACTGCCCTTGTTGTATATAGGAGATGTTGTATTCACTGTACACAGATTTTGACTTCTTTTTTTTTTTGGATTATACATATGGGATAAATGTGTGTTTACTGTTTAATATTTTTCAGAGATGTTTTGTTATCTTTTAAGTTTGTGTACAAACATAAAAAGCCATAAAGGTCTTGAAAATATTTTCATAACTTTGATTTGTTTCACCTTTTTTATTTGATGTTTTTATTTTTTTATGGGGAAAATTATGCTTCTATTTTAAATGGTGTAAAAAAAAAAAAAATTAAAAAAAAGGGGGAACAACCAATCAGAGTAGATGTGTGTCTTCAAACCATCCAATCACAGCGCTCACCTGCATGAGCATGACGGTGATCTACAGGCGAAGGAGCGGCCGGATCTCATGTGTCATTCCTGAAACGTATTTTGACACACTCACTCACAAATGGAAACACTGACAGGAACTTGTCTCAGCAAGTAATTTGCAATGACACGTTCCACTCTGCTAATAAGAAAAAAAAATAAATATATATATATATATATATATATATCTTTTGCTTTCTTTGACTTAAACTGACAAATCAAAGTTAATAAAAATGGCTATAATGACTAAGACTGCACATTTGTTCAGGTGTTTTGTTTCTTTTGGCTTTTCGTTGCTCAAAAAAAAAATCAAATCTTCTGAAAAGCTGAATTTTGAATGTCTGTAAACTATTATAAAAATGACAAAAACCAATGTTTAAACATGTGTATTGACTCTACATAGCATCTCAAAAATTCAATAATTTCCCAAAAATGTCACCCGTATTTGAGTCCACCTGTGGGATGTTTTCACTGGGAAAAAAGCAACAGGAAAAGAAAGCATGAAGCAGGCGTATAAATAAAGCGCTGTGAAATCTGAAGCAGTTGAACTAAACAGTGTGAAACCGCTGCAAAAGACTAAACAAGTTTTTTTTTCCACTAAAATTATCATGGTAAGCTTCTCGTCTCTGTTACACCAAACTTAATTTCACAGGTAGGATCAAAAGTTATGCAAACTAAACAGAAAAGCTCCTGTGTTGTTACATATTAATGTCCTTTCTTAATGAACAACAGCAAAATCTGCAGAAGAGGTAAAAAGTGAAAGAAACCTTTAATCTAAGCAAAGAAGAAACGTTAGTGAAAACTCTCACTATCCTCTTCGTCATGCAGACCTTGTTAGTAGCAGATTTGCATATCAACATGAGGTTGTTATCTTGCAGATGTTGCACATACATGAAGTGAAGCTCAAGTTTCACAACACCCCAAAGCTGCTTTATTAGATTCTGGTCTAATGGCTGTGAAGGGCATTAGAGTACAGTGAATTATTTGCCCTGTGCAAGAAACCAATTTTGAATAAGATTTTAGCTAAGAGACATCATTCTGCAGGGAAGCAGTGGTTGGAATATGAGCACTGTGATCATTACAGGATGATTACGCTCAGCAGCAGTGGCTGTCATGGAGGACTGACAGAGCTGCAGTTGTGTTCATAATTTACATACTTTTCACAACTCTGGTTTTTTTGGTCTCATATGTGCACAAGCTGACATAAAAAGGTAACCATCCTCACCTGTGATCTGTCTGCTTGTAATCAGTGCGTATAAATAAACAGTCAGTGAGTTTCTGGACTCCTGACAGACCCTTGTGTTATTCATCCAGTGCTGACTGATGCCTTTTGTTTCTAAGTCATGGGGAAAGCAAAGGAATTGTCTTAGGATCTGCAAGAAAAGGTAACTGAACTATTTAAAACCAGTAAGGGACATAAAAATGGTTACGCAAGGGACTGACAACGGTCAGCAGTGACCAAACTGTAATTAAAAACCAAACAATGACCAGGTAGAACAAGAATTTCCAATCACTGCCAGTAAAATTATTTGGATGTAATGAAAAAACCCACAAATAACAGGACTTTTCTTGGGCCACAGCCACAAATGTTACATTTGGAGAGAAGTCGACAAGGCTTTTGATGAAAGGTACACCATTCCTTCTATGAAACACTGTGATGGATCAGCGATTTCCAAAGTGCTTTGTATCTCACTCTTTGGGGAAATGTGAGATACAAAGCACCGGAAACTTGTTCAAAATTATAGGCAGGATGAAGGCTGCATGTTATCAGAAAACACTGCTTGTATGCTGTGCATGTTCCAGGCCAAGCCGATCTGTCAGACCTACAGCTAATCAAGGTTCTGGAGTGACCATCTTAATCTCCTGACCTCAGAATCATTGAACCACTGTGGGGAGATCTCAAACGTGTAGTTCATGCGAGACCGCCCAGGATGTTACAGGAACTGAAGGCTTTCTGCCAAGAAGATTGTGCAGCTCAGAGAAAATAAAGAGCCTCATTCACAACTACTAAAAAAGACTCCAAGCTTTCATGGCGATACATATTAACCGGGTTATGCATTGGTGATGCAGCTGACGAGAAGAACTCCTCAGTCTCATTCAAACAAT